ATTCCGGGTCACGTCAGAACGACCTTTCAGCCAACCAATCAAAGCGACGCTTACGAGATCATGAAAGTGACAGTCGGAATATGTTTTCTAATCATGCAACCTCGAAAACGTTAACACGGGGTTTTCCGAACGACAGTTACGACCCGTACGACTGATTCCGTCAAAAATATTGTCTATCTCTCGCTTCCGTGGGATGAAAACTTGTTTGAACGGAGGAGGCGTTGCACAGTACGTGGGATTCACTGCCATACAATCTCAACCATATATTAGACATTCCGGAATGTTCGTTTGTTCAGTTTTCAAAATTTGAATCGACAACTGTGTCAACATATTTTTCAAGCGTAGTCTGAAAAGGAAGTCGCCAGGTTGAAACGAGTGCCGTAAAGCTCGAGAAAGCTGCTTTCTAATTGGCTGATGTTGACTTCTTGTTATTCATTTCAGTGGTCGGTCAAAGTTCGCGAAAGTTCGTTCTGACGTGACCCGTAATGGGATGTCCTCAGATCTTTGTATAGCGGCAGCGAGAACTTAGATCTGATTTGAATGAGATTGGAATGGAAGTCGCGGGTTTGAAACTTTTGCAGTAAGCTGGGATTAAAAAAATGTCGACTTCTTGTATGTCATTTCATTAGGCTGGTCAATGTTCTAATGGTCGTTCTGACGTGACTTGCAGTTGGATGTATCTTATATCTTTGAAAAGAGGTAGCGAGAGCTAAGATCTGATTTTAATGAAATTGTATACTTCAGTGACTAATGATCGTCCTCAGACTCTGAAGCTCAGCAATAAAACGTAATGCCTCCGATGGCATCTAGTTGTGCAATAGTCCCCAGCCTCAGCAGAGTCGAACCATGGCCTACAATAAAGTGAAACAGTGAAAGCCTTGACATTTGGTGATTAGGTGAGGGATTTGTTAGGTTTAGCGCCGTTTTGTATGTAAGTAATATCTCGATGCGCTAGCTTAACGTGGGATGAAGTACAAAGTGTCAGAATTTTTATATATCCGATATCATCCTCAATAATTGTTCACACAAGAATTCTACATTTGATGCTCAGATTGATTCTTAAGATTTACATGAAATTGTAAGCTGACTTCTCGGCGTTAAAACAAATGCCATGGAATATAGTTCATTTGACTTACACCGTGTGTAATCTCCACCTGAAGCCGCCTCCATTCTGTAACGGAAATATCCTTGTCGGCACTTATGTTTAAAATGAATACATGTCCAGAAATCCGACCTATTTAAGTAACATAATATGTCAAGGCATCCCTGAGTGAGTCTCGGATTGATATGGGAGAAACGCCTCAAGTGATGCAGGAGTAGCAGGTTTAGCACTTAAATCCACCTACACGGGTACTGTGATGACAAACTATGAATCATTACCAGGACGACTGCGATGCTCCGGAATGGTCTTGCAGTCATTGAATATGTCTGCGACTGTGAAGCTTTGTCAGGAAAGGCACTGCAGACATTGACCCTTTCTACAGCTAAGATGTTTGTAGGGACTCTTACTTCAGACATTGAGTCTGCATGGAGAAAAAGGTCCAGAGAATTCTACTAACTTGATTTGTAACATCTGTCACATATTTAGCAAACAGCAAATTTAGTGTCCTGTCTCGTAGATTACACGTGGCAGCAGTTTCGGCGTCAAGACCACGTGACATTCTCACTTCCGCCTTGGTCAGTGTCACGCTCGCCATTTTGAAACAAGGGGATAATTATGAGTATGTGTGGTAGGTATATATTTGGCTTTCTAACATTGTTTGTGTAATTTTTTCATGACTGACAAAAAATTTAACTGTATAATGTGTACTCAATGAAGAACGTTTTATTAAGTTTGTGAGTGTAAAACAATATATGTTTATTTTATTTACCTGTCAATTACTTTTCGTAATATTATGTAAATATACTTAAAATGACACTGCAAATCATGATGCATGTTATGTAAGTTATCTTTTACCTGTATTGTTTTTGTCATTCTTCATTCACTTGTCTTTGAAAATCGTATTCATCTGCTGTCAACAGGGATCGCAAAATAACCAAAAGACGAGATTTCATTACAGTGTAGTAATACTTACACGTAAAGTGAGTGAGTATGGTTTTACGTCGCTTTTTAGCAATATTCCTGCAATATAACGGCGGGGGACACCAAAAATGGGCTTCACACATTGTACCCACGTCGGGAATCGAACCCGGGTCTTCGGCGTGACGAGCGAACGCTTTAACCGTCCGCCACTACACGTTAAGTACTGACCTACTGTAGGCCATCCACTTGTCTCATTAGAAAATATTTCTAACTGGTTAGTAAAATTACCAAACACGTTAGTGTCTCAATGCACAGTAAAATTGACTAAATTAGTAAACTTTACTAACCATTTCTGTCAGTGTGTCTTAGCTGTATTTTTTCTCCTTTTCGAGGAACGATAGCATCGTGTTGACATACGTGGTTGTGTCAAAGTCTGAACCACGGTGATCAACGTACATACAACAGACGAAGGTACAGCATCAAGGCAAATCAGTGACACATGGTAATATATCAACCAGCAGGCAACTATTTTCTCACAGGTTCTAATCCCCCGCACCAAAGGGAATTCATAAGGGGGAACGATATACAGTAAACTACGGCTATAACGAACTAAAAGGGACAACTAATTTTAGATCGTCATAACCGTAGTTCGTTATAGGCACATTTATAGCCTATATACAGTAAATGGACGGGACCCCAAAACTGTTCGTAATATCCGTCAGTTCGGTATAAGCGTGTTCGTTATAAACGTAGTTTACTGTATAAGAAATAAGAGACCTCAGCATCAATACGGTCGTCTGTACGAATGCCAACCTATATATAATCATCCCACTACACATGTGACGTGATATTCTAAAGGTTTGAAATGAGTATTTTTTACCAGAAAACAATAACAATATGTCTGATAAACAAAGGAAGACCATGCTCCTTCACTATATACCATTGGCTGTCGATATACATCCTGTCAGGTGATGGCAGCGAACAAATATTGAGCTATGTCAAGGAAACCCTTGAAGAAGAACGGTGTCTGTGATGTGCGGAAACGTTGTCTCCAGTCCGCTGCCTGGGAGTGTGTTCAGCAGTCTGTTTGATCGAAAAACATTGTTTGATGGGGCACGTGTTGGTTGTTTAACGCCACACTGAGCAATATTCCAGATATGACGGCGGTCTGTAAATAATCGAATCTGGACCAGAAAATCCAGTGATTGATATCACGAGCATCCATCTTCGCAATTGGGATATGATTACACTCATCAACCAAGTAAAAATGCCCCCCCCCCCCCCCCCCCCGATCACGTTAATTGCCTCTTACGACAATCATCGGTTGCTGCAGACCTGTTCTCACCGACGTCTTCACGGGTTAAGTACTCATTGCTTAGTGTAGGAAAGTTGTTCATAGTATCTTGTATCCCTGAACAACGGTTCCTAGTTTACCTAGTCCTTCTTGAATAGGGCCACAAAACTTTCTTAGCGCTAAGACAGCCGTTATTCAATGTAAACGTGAGCCCCAAGACCTTGTGCCCTAACGTACCACTGCCATAACTGTATTGACGGTTAGTACTACGGCTGTGTGAAATTGGACTCGTGACAATAGGGGACTTTGAGTCTCTTTACAGCATACTTAGAAATGAATTGTCAGTAATGTTTGACATGGTGGTGGGCTAATGATATAGGCTTGCCAATGTAAGAATGCTATCATTAAAAGCTAATTTAAACCCATACTTGTTAGTGGAGGTTTAATGACGTTATTGCAGCATTCAAGTCTTCGTCAAAATATTGGGGTTGTGACAGTCGTGATGGTACGCTCGTCTTGTGAAACGATGGCCAGGAATGTTCTTGGTGAACACTTTGCAAATATCAATTATTTCCTAGGGCGAAGGTGGCCCAGTCATCTTAGGCGCCGCAATCCGCTGTGCAGAGTTGCTCCCCTTTTCATGACAGAAACCAATAATCGTGAGTTCGAATTCCAGATTCGCCCTGATCACGTTTCTTGGTTTGTCAGTACCATACTGTGCTCGTGGGTTTCACCAAAGTAGTGAATGTCTAAGACCTACCTAAATTCAGGCTTTTCTCCCTCATCATGCCGTCGGGCCGTGATGTAACAGAAATACTGATCAAATCGACGTTAAACCAAACTAACTCACTCGTTCATTAATATATTCATTTTCTCATTCGTAGAATAGTGTTAAATATATTCAGTAAGATTACTATCTGACAGAAACAGCTCGCTTTAACCACGTCTACACTCAGTTAGCGGTACATGGCAGCACGCGTGTCATCTGTTGTGACAAGATTGACGTCATGTGTCGCTCACGGGAGTTCGGGTGCATATAGTAAGACGATGTAGTGCGGAATGTTACCGATTATAACACCCCGAAATACAACAAAAAATAAAGAAACATATAGTGTTTATGTCGCAAATGTTTCTTGTGACGTGTTCCATCATTCGTCCCCAGAAACCACAAAATAACACAACAAACGCATGGTTCATTTAGATAGGGAACATCTGTATGTGTCGTCATGTAGAAATGATTAAAGACAATCATCGAGTCATACAAGATTTAGGAAGACCTAAAGTAACACGTGACCTTAATACGTCACACTGGCGTTAATATGTCTGCTTACGTTAGCAGCATAACATCTTGATTAAAGTTATCTAATAAAACAAACAAAGAATGGAGTAAACACAGTACACAAAGCATACACCCAAGGACCGCCTTGTTTTCATAGTGTTTCTGTATATATTGCCTCCGTGGGCAAGTGGATAGAGTGTCTGTCCGGAGAGCGGAAGATCGGGGTTCGATCCCCAGCTGCACTCAAACCATTTGTGATGTGGCCACTCCGTGGCAACCGTTCATTCTGGGAAGAACGAAGCGTTTCCAACGCAATATAGCTATATAGTATAGTTGTACGTCTTTTCAACGTTTGGCGTGTAAAATCCTAATTAAGTCTGAACAAATAATTTAAAAGCGTTTCAGTTGCTTCAAAATGAAATATTTAATTTAACAACTAAAAAATACATCATCTACATTTGTGAAAACGAAGCATTTAAGAAACAGGCAGTCCGTTTTCCCAAGTGAAAACATCTTACATCAGACGAAGTCACATGCCTTTCGTCTGAGACCATAATCAGACGAGTCCACCGTCACCAATTACTCTTTGTGTTGCCATGACTGACAATTCCGTCACATGCTGATGTCACGGGTAATCCTCACACAAACCAGAGCCACGCAACATGAATCCCTAAAAGGCACCAAGGATGTCAAAAGTCATAATTTATCCCGGAATAATGCCTGCTTTACCATTGATTTAAGAAGCCCCGTGTGGAATGAAAGCCAGTCCAATGACAATAAGTAGGGCTTCGTACACCGGGATCCATCTAATTTGATGACGTGCACATTCCTTAGACTGTCGTCCAGGCATGGAATGTGTCGCATTGCGCGGGAGCGTATACTTTTGGACTGGGAACATTTCATCTCCAAGTTCCACGTTTTGGGCATCAACGCAAGTCTTGATCGACAGACTTAGCGGGGGCGGTACAATGGACATCATCACTAGTACATCTATCTGGTTTCACGTGTGGACAGATAACATGTTTACAGATAGGCAACAGTTAGCAACATCGCGGATTTGACATTTAGTGCTTTACGTAAAAAGCTTAAGGATAGTGAAAGGGACTCGTATCTTAATGGCATTTGAAAAGATGCATATATTCCACACTCCTTGTTTATATCCTCTATTATACCAAGCCCACACTCGAACGCTGCAGCAGCCAAAGAAATGCGTAGGATGCATTATCCAATTGATTAAATTCCAACATTTAAGTGTGTTAGCTATCTGTAGTAATGATTCATGGGAATAATAATTTAAACTTAGATGACGACAAATCTGGAAGCCTTCTTTGTGATCTCGAACGCTAATAATGTTTGTGGCCAATGTGTACATGATCTTCCTGCTAGTGATGTGGTTATTTATTGAAATAATCAAAGATGGGTGCAGCACCACGGCCAAAAAATCGAACATGGCTTTCCGTAATGGAAACAAAACGAGTTGGCCCTATCTCTGCAGTCTAATTCAGTTTACGAAAACTTCAGTCTGTGGAAGTGGACAAACTGCAGGTCACCGTGTTCCAGACGTATACTGTCTTGTTTCCTTTCGCACTTACTAAACACATCCGAATACAGCGACTACAATGGATGGTTGATCCTGCTAATACGTATCAGTTGATAGTAAATGTTGGTGATACTACACGCTGTGACAGTAGTGGATGGTAGATCCTGGTAATACTACACGCTGTGACAACAATGGATAGTAGATACTAAAATGCTACACGCTGTAACAACAGTTGTTAGTAGATACTACACGTTGTGACTACAGTGGATGGTAGATCCCGGTAATACTACACGCTGACACAACAGTTGATAGTAGATACTACACGCTGTGACTACAGTGGATGGTAGATCCTGGTAATACTACACGTTGTGACTACAGTGGATGGTAGATCCTGGTAATACTACACGCTGACACAACAGTTGATAGTAGATACTACACGCTGTGACTACAGTGGATGGTAGATCCTGGTAATACTACACGTTGTGACTACAGTGGATGGTAGATCCTGGTAATACTACACGCTGACACAACAGTTGATAGTAGATACTACACGTTGTGACTACAGTGGATGGTAGTTCCCGGTAATACTACACGCTGACACAACAGTTGATAGTAGATACTACACGTTGTGACTACAGTGGATGGTAGATCCTGGTAATACTACACGCTAACACAACAGTTGATAGTAGATACTACACGCTGTGACTACAGTGGATGGTAGATCCTGGTAATACTACACCCTGACACAACAGTTGATAGTAGATACTACACGCTATGACTACAGTGGATGGTAGATCCTGGTAATACTATACGTTGTGACTTCAGTTGGATGGTAGATCCTGGTAATACTACACGCTGTGACTACAGTGGATGGTAGATCCTGGTAATACTACATGCTGACACTACAGTGGATGGTAGATCTTAGTAATACTACACGCTGTGACTACAGTGAATGGTAGATCTTGGTAATACTACACCCTGACACAACAGTTGATAGTAGATACTACACGCTGTGACTACAGTTGATTGAATAGACTGCACGCTGTGGCTAGAGTGGATGGTAGATCATGGTAATACTACATTCTGACAGTACAGTGGATAGTAGATCCTGGTAATACTGCACGCTGTGACTACAGTGGTAGATCCTGGTAATACTACACACTCTTACTGCAGTGGATGGGAGAGCATTGTGACAGCAGTAAATGACATGCGACTAGTCCCGCAGTAAATGAATCAGTTAAAGTTCTCTGCGGCCTTCTGCTGAGCGCTGGAGTCCATCAGGTTTCCCTCAAACCCGTAGTTCTTCTTTATCTTCTGGAATGTCTCGTAGTCTATTTCAATACCAAAGGCTTTGGCGAATTTGTTAAATTTCTTAAATGCTGTAAAAGATAGATAATCATGAGTTAACCACAAATTAAAGCTAAAATGGATAGAATTATCATTAAACCGCCCGCACGTTATCAGAAATGAGCGGGCCACCATAATTTGATAATGCCCTCATATTGCTTGACAACGGGCCATTATCAAGCCCGTTGTTAGGTGACGTCATAGGTACAGAAAGTGACGTCACGTATTATAGTGACGTCACGTATTATAGTGACGTCATCTGGGTTTTTTCAATGACGCCCATATTTGTAAAAGTGGGTCAGTGACATTCGTGTTGATTGCAGTAAATGTTTCAAAACCTCCTTCGCCGGGCAGTTAATGGAAGACCTGGGGTTTCTGCAAATGATAATGCCCTTAAAAATAGCGATACCCTTATATTATAGCTAAAATGGATAGAATTATCACTAAACCGCCCGCATGTTATCAAAAATGGGCGGGCCACTGTAACTTGATAATGCCCTCATATTGCTTGACGACGGGCCATTATCATGCCCGTTGTTAGGTGACGTCAGGGGGATAGGGAAAGGTGACGTCACGTTCAATAGTGACGTCATCTGGTTTGTTCTATGACGTTTCTATATTTGTAAAGGTGGGTTTTTGATTCGTTTTGATTGCAGTAAATGTTTCAAAACCGATATTGTTGTTTATTTTTGTTTGATAACAAATTCTATCCATTTTAGCTAACGGTAACGCTATTTTTCAGGGCATTATCATTTGTAGAAGCCCTCGTTCTTTTCAACTGCCCTCCTTCGTCGAGCAGTTAATGAAAGACCTCGGGCTTCTGCAATGAGAATGCCCTGAATAATTGCGTTTTCAATATATTGTATCATCACCACACAAACTCACTCTAAATTAACTGTTATTGGTGACTTGAACGCAAAATCAATCACGCATTTGCTAGATGCTTAAACATTATTTCACCGGCGGTTGTACATAAAGGGGCATTCACACGGTACTTCTAGTTGGTTCAAAATGTTGTATGGTATTAGTTGTGTGAACACAGCAGCGCGTAGCATACAACTTAGGTCTCGCGAGATCTCTGACCGTGACTGGGCAAAGAGTGATAGGTTCATATATCCCCTGTAACAGTGGCTTCTGAGTTTGAGTACTGAACGTTCACATAGATATATAGAATTGAATTGTACTGAATGGTGTAAAAGTCATTGTAAAAGGTATAGGACTGGTGCGAGAGAAATTATGCTTAGCTGAACAAAACGCCTTAAAATATAGCCAATTTTAACCGCACACCGATTAACGTACCGTGAGACTGAACGATCGTAATCAACTTTTATAGGATAGTTTTGTGTAACCTGTGAGAGAACAAATACCGAAATTTTAGAGGCAGGCCGAATAAATATTTTGTAAGTCATGAGTGCAACTCGTTGCTGTGTCAATGCCAATTTGCTAACAACTTCCGTTGGTAAAACAAATTTCATAAAACACGATATACAAAGTAAAAGGTATTCTGACTTGCAGATTCACACGATGCGATGTGTTGCATACAATAAATGGTATACAACTAGTTGTGACGTGTTAATGTCCCTTTTGAGGCAGAATGACAATTATCACAATATTGAAGATGGCCCTGATACGAAAGGACATACTTTACACCCTCTTCAGCCGTTACTATAGACAATACTGCCTGAGTTATGGTCTAACCCAATAGGGAACTCGTTGCTGAGTGAATGCCCATTTAGAGGTAGAATAATCACAATTTCAAGATGACCCTGATACCCAGAGATATGGCCTTACCCGGATCATTGCCACAGACGTACAGGGCGAACCACTCCATACATTGGTCGCAGTTGGTGGTGCAGGCATCGCAGATGAAGGGGCAGATGAGACGACAGCAGCAACGGCAGCAGAACAGGACCATGCAGAGGAAGGAGAAAAGGAAGATGAAGCGAAGCAGGACGGTCTTCCAGTTCCGTGCCATCTTCTGAAACAGAGTTTCCTCCTTGTCCTCAACCTGGAACAGAGTAAGTGAGTGAGTTGGATTTCACGCTGCAGTAGTTCGGTTATATATGACTAATGTTTGAAGGTAGCCTGCAGTGATGCAGGCTACAGACGTTTACCAATGGAAAACCAAGAAGCGCGGGGTAAAGTGCTGACAAACCACGGATCATAATCAGAGGACAATAAGAGATCGAACCTATGATCATGGGATGCTGGTACAACTAAGGGGCACAAGTCTGCACGGCGAACTGCGGTGCTTCGACTACTGGGTCCGTGTGGCCCACTTGAGTGTTTCAGAAAAGAGTCTTAACCAGAACTACCATTGAACTAAGGTCCCTTTCTGCAACAAAACCATGAGTGTTTACCGTCAACAAATATTGAAAAAAACATTAATTTTTGCGATAATATAAAACGTCATATTCAAATCTCAAATTGTCATATGTTTGAACCTCAGTCCACAAAATTAATCACATAACATGAAAAGATGGTATTTGGCTCATGTTATAACAGAATGGAGACACGTCATATTGTTCTGTAGGTTGCAGTGAGCCTTGCCGATTCCACGTTCAAGATTGGCAAAATATTTAGGATTGTTTTTCATTTTTTCTGTGTATTAATGTAAGGTAACAAACACAAACTGCATAAACTCGAGTAGTGTAGCTCAGTGACTTCATACTACTGTATTCCTTCCTTAAACTCGCAAAACAAATGAAAACCAACTCATATTTAACAACATGGTTAATCGTCCGGTATATGAACATTAAGTTAAACAAGGAGTTTTAATTATTATTTATTATTATTTACAGATTAAAATATAAATGCAGCAAAGAGAGTTTGGGGGATCCTGGCACAGGCAGGCTGATTAGGCTCATCATCAGCTCAGGGCCCTTGCCCCTTCTACATGCAGCCCAGACAGAGGATGGGACTTCTCCCAGGAACCGCTGCCTAGTCAAACCCTCTCAGAACTTTTCGAAGAAATGTGAAGACTCCCCAACGCTGCAGCCTTCTTTCTACCTTACCCAGATTGTCAGAAGGGCTGTATTCCAGGTAGCAAACCCGGGTACTCTCCCAATATCAGCCAACAAATTGGGAGGTACCAAACCTAAGGCACCGAAAACAATGGGGAGTCGGACAACTTTGGTACTTGGGATGCAAGCGTGACATTTCGAAAGCGAGATCCGCATATTTGCCATGTCTTTCCTGAATCTTGTCAATCACATCAGTGTCAAAAGGGACAGAAAGGGATCGGGTTTGTTGGCCTGGATAGGTTTGAGGCTGTATGCGGGCCTATTCCGAAGAATTTTATATTTATCAATATCCATGTCGCCCTCTACATATTCTGGGTCGTGCCATGGATGAACCTCTGTGTCAAAACCATGTCAAAACCATGTGCAAACACCAGCGGTCCGTGACATCGGGGTTTATAACACAATAGTAAACATAGTATATAATAAGGGTAACGCTATTTTTCAGGGCATTATCATTTACAGAAACCCGAGGGCTTCCGCAAATGATAATGCCCTGAAAAATAGCGTTACCCTTATAGCTAAAACAACAATATCGGGTTTAAAACATTTACTGCAATCAAAACGAATGTCACTGACCCACTTTTACAAATATGGAAACGTCATAGAACAAACCAGATGACGTCTCTATTGAACGTGACGTCACCTTTCCCTAACCCCATGACGTTTTAGTTAACATAGTATAGAACACGATAGTTAACATGGTATATAACACAATAGAAAACATGAATATAGCCACATAAAGAAGCGAACCGGACCTCATAACAAGACTTGGTATACTAGGTACCCGTTCTACCCCAGAATGCTCGGTAATATTTTTCGCAAAAATATGAGGGAGGAGAGATTTTTTTACCGAAAAAACGCGATGAGGGAGGAATATTATTTATTGCTTTCCTCCTGATCAGATAAAAACACCCCCTACAAATCAGAGTCGACCAGTCAGTATTTGTTAATCACACGGTGACTTGATCGTGTGTCCCGACGGCGTACGACATTATTCATCCCCTCAATCACTGGTTGGTCCAGACTAGATGTATGTATTTACTATTTACAGGACGCCGTCATATAGCTTGACGACTGCTGAGTGGGCGTTCAACAACAAGCAAACAAACATGAACGGTCAGCGACACCATGGCTGGACATGACTGGTTTGGACCCGTGAAGATCCAGGGTAGAATAGGTCTTCAGCAACCCATGCCTGCCGTAATATATAAAAGGTGACTATGCTTGTCGTAAGAGGTGATAAACGGGATCGAGTGGTCAGGATCGCTGACTTGGTTGATGCATGTCATCGATCCAAATTGCGTGGATCGATGTTCATGATGTCAATCACTGGATTGTCTTTTCCAGACTCGATTATTTACAGACCGCCGTCATATAGCTGGAATATTGCTGAGTGCGGCGTTAAACAACAAACCAACTAACAACTGACTGTTTAGGAGGGTCTGAAAGGTTGGTAGATCGGAAGGTACGTAAATACGATTGCTGCACTTGGTTCAGCAGTGTCAGTGAATTTAGAAACCTTTTCTGTCGGACTCAGAGCTGAGGGGGTTATCATTAACGCATAATTGATATTCAAGAACTGATGGCTTTAATCGTTCCAACCTGTCACTCTGACATTTCCGCCAGCTATTACTTGGCATTCATGAATATTTTCAAAACGTATTGCAGTTCATCAGTGACGTATAACGTCCTTATGCCGGCTTTAACCAAAGAAAAAACAAACTGTCATTAGGACAACATTTTATTGTCATCGCCTGCGTCATAAAAATGGAACGTATTAAGATTGGACTGAGATGGGACTGACGGCGTAGAATGAGTCAAAACTTTGCAGCAGTTGAATGCATGTAATTAGTGAGTGAGTATGGTTTTACGCCGCTTTTAGCAATATTCAAGCAATATCACGGCGGGGGCCACCTGAAATGGGCTTCACACATTGTACCCATGTCGGGAATCGAACCCGGGTGTTCGACGTGACGATATGTCACTGTTCACAAGAGTAAATAAATGATTTCAACACCGAAATATTGGCGTACCAACATTTCATGGCATCAAGCGTACCTGACTGCGGCATTCGGTATACCCCTCGACAGGGCTCATCACCCAGCGTACCTGACTGCGGCATCCGGTATACCCCTCGACAGGGCTCATCACCCAGCGTACCTGACTGCGGCATCCGGTATACCCCTCGACAGGGCTCATCACCCAGCGTACCTGACTGCAGCATCCGGTATACCCCTCGACAGGGCTCATCACCCAGCGTACCGCACTGCGGCATCCGGTATACCCCTCGACAGGGCTCATCACCCAGCGTACCTGACTGCGGCATCCGGTATACCCCTCGACAGGGCTCATCACCCAGCGTACCTGACTGCGGCATCCGGTATACCCCTCGACAGGGCTCATCACCCAGCGTACCTGACTGCGGCATCCGGTATACCCCTCGACAGGGCTCAGCACCCAGCGTACCTGACTGCGGCATCCGGTATACCCCTCGACAGGGCTCATCACCCAGCGTACCTGACTGCGGCATCCGGTATACCCCTCGACAGGGCTCAGCACCCAGCGTACCTGACTTTGGCATCCGGTATACCCCTCGACAGGGCTCATCACCCAGCGTACCTGTCTGCGGCATCCGGTATACCCCTCGACAGGGCTCAGCATCCAGCGTACCGGACTGAGGCATCCGGTATACCACTCGACAGGGCTCAGCACCCATTGTTCCAAAACAAAAAAGGTGCTGGCACCCTCTATAGTTTGACAAAGACTACGAACGTTTTCCGGATTAGGGCCCAGGCTAAGTTGTAAAAAATTGTCTGTATTTAGAATAAATAGACAAAGATATTATTCACATTTTTAAAACTTGGATCTCATCACATAATACGTATGTACCCGCTTCATTGTATTTACGGAACGGGAAAGGGACTTTGAAGTTTTGTGTTTAACACGTAGTATTGATAAGGTCGCTTCACTGAAAGGATATGATTGTGGGTTCGAATCCCGGTGAGCACTGATAATGTTTTGAGGTTTGCCAGCACCATACCCGTACTCAGGGGCTTCATCATAGTTGTAAACGTCAGACACTTTCCTCCCACATAAGCTAACATGCCGTGATATAGCCGGTATACTGTTAAAATCGGCGTTAAACCCAACTCAGTCACTAACTCATTGAAAGGAACATATATCTCTGAAACATTTACAAGACAACACGCCTTTTGAATTTCACCTCATAGTCCAAACTTTTCTTGTCAGTTTCCCAGTCGTAATTGTCTTCATAGTCGAACCGCTTCCTGATGCCTCTCGCTTCATGACGCAGTTGTCGCTGGTCTCCAGATGACGTGGCTAGTTCCTGCGACCTCAACGTCGACGTCTCGACACGCGTTGCAACTGCAACCAAACCGGAATGAGAGTAAAGATCTGGGAAGGAGAGGTGTGCGTTCGTGCGCTTGTGTGCGCGCGCGGTGGAGATGCGTTGACACACAATAAGTGTCGGAATGTAAGTATTCTAACTATAAATCTATGTTCTGAAAATACGACATGACAGATTGTTGTTTGCGGTTTTATGTACAACGCTCAGGTCACTTATCTTAAATAAATTAAAAATTCACCAATAAAAGGTACACATGCTATTGTTTCATATGACTATTGTGTTACGTTCTGGAAGGCGCTTTCGTAGGTGGAGATTGATACAAAGAAGCTACCGTAAAATACCCCGCGGTTGAAATAAGAGTTTTGAAATTGTCAGTATTATTTTGTTTGCTTGTGTTTAACCCCGCACTCAGAAATATTTCAGCTATAAAAATATTCTAACCCTGAAGTTAGTGGTAAGGGGTATTTGGTTCGGGTGCTTCAATGGGTAGACGCCAAGGATCATATGGATTAGGCACACGTCAGAATGCATCGTCGCTTCATTTTCACAGGGTTGACATGTATCACAATGTCCAACCACATAAAAAAATAGCATCTGACGATATAAAGTTGTAATGTTTAAAGTGCAGAAGACACTCTAAAACTGTCCTTCTAATATATTAATTACTGGAAGCGTCAACACGTTCTTCCAAAGAATACGAATATTCTATGATCTGTTGTAGAACCCGTACAGAAGTCGATGCACATTCAGAGATCATGTGCTATACATGGGCTCTAATCGGGGGCTCCGTCTTGTAAGCATCATCTAATCCTCTAGCTGCTACCTGTCGTCTGTGTGGAATGGAAGGAGCAACCACGAATCTAAAGCGTCGAGAAACGCTTCCTCCAAGGCAGCAATTAGCAGCAGCTTCGAGGTCCGTCCGAACGCATTCTGGTGTTGGTTCTACACTGACTACACTCCCCTTTCACGCATCATCTTCCTCCTGTCCTCTGTAGGAGTATATGTTCTTAACGGGGGTGTGAAACATGATGTCAATTCGCCTTAGGCCAATAGGTACCTAACCTTGATAACTTCGACCATATATTTGTGTTTTTGGAATATGTATTTTTTAGTTGAAGGCTGATTGAACAGAAAATGTGTTAAGAAGAGTGTTATGTTGTGTTTGATGAATAATATATAATTTTAAAACCCAACATTTTTTCTGCTTATTTTGAGGTTTATCGCCCTATTTTTTTTCCAAATAGTGATGCTGTCGCGTGTGTTGTTATTAGTAGCATCAAACAAAGATGGCTGACAAACATCAGAGACAGGTGTCGGCGTAGTGCATGTGTACCTATTGTTTTAATAAAAGCTCATACGTAGCCTGACTGAATATACTGAACCGCAAAAGAAACGTCACCATGGATAGACATATGATAAACATTATTTGTCAAAACACTGTAAACAACATACTTTGAGACATATTAAAAAGATGAAACTTGCCAAAACTGATCATCAAAGTTGAAATTAAAGTGTCAAATGTTCTTAAAGTGAAACACAACACTGGTCTCTGAGAAAATGGCATCACAAGTCAGTATCTCGTGTGTCCGCCATGTACATTGATGACTGCCGTGCAACGTCGATACATGGAATGAATCAGGCGGTTGCTGAAGGCCATAGGCACTTGAGCCCACACTCTGAGGAACGCCTGACGCAGTTCAGCTTCAGTTGTCAGCCTTGGTCGGACGTCATTCAGCCGACTTTGAATCTCGTCCCACAGGTGCTCAATGGGGTTTAAATCGGGACTGAGATCCAGCCACTGCATGGTTCTGATGCAATTCTGCTGGAGGAAGTCTCTTGTTGCTCTCGCAGTGTGGGCACGGGCGTTATCATGCTGAAACTCGTGGTTGCGGCGACGTGCCAAATGAGGTATGGCGTGAGGTCTCAAGACTTGATCAATGTACCGAGCTGCTGTGACACCATTGCCTCTCCTTGGACCGATGTTCTGGAAGACCACAGGGCCGAATCTCTGTGCAAGACCAATTCCACCCCACACCATGATGCTCGGACCACCCCACGAGTCTCTCAACAACACAAGCATCCGAATAACATTCCCCAGGGCGTCGCCAGACTCTCTCTCTCTCTCTCTCTCTCTCTCTCTCTCTCTCTCTCTCTGCCATCGCTGTTGACATACAGTAACGGCTCTCGTCTGAGAAGAGGACTCTTCTCCACTGCTGGTGGCGCCAATGCTAGTGCTGTGTTGCCCACTGAAGACGGTCCCGGCGATGACGTGGTGTCAGAATGGGTCCTCGGTGTGGCTGCTCGTCAATCGTCGACACACGATGTCCGCACTAATGTGTCACTGGTGTGTCCCCACTATCTGTCGAGCAGTTTCCGCAGCAGTAACAAAGAGATCTTGAAGACAATCTGACGATCCTGACGTCGGGTGGTGACCTTTGGTCTTCCACTAAGTGGTCGGCCATCAGTACTGTTGGTGGTCTGGTCCGGTTTGCTGGAGCCTGTATATGGTCCTTACCTGGACTTGAAATGCATTGGCCAAGGCTCGCTAAATACAATGTTTATTCCTAATGCAGGATATTTACCATCCCCAAACACACTCGCGTGATAACCTCTATATATGAGAACACTGGTATTCTATTGGCTAATTTAACGTGCAGCCTCTGAAGTGACTTAAATCTTGAGCGAAACGTACATTAATCACGCAACGCATTCTGCCACTTTTGTTTACAGTAACCACGCTTGTCAATTATAGTAGGCCAAGTTTGTTAAATCATAATAATTTTGGTGCATACAAATGGTAATTCTTTTTTCATTTATCGTGTTTTTCAATCTCATTTTCATTCGCTCAATATCTTTTTAGCGAACAGCAACTTGATGTAATTCGACATAAAGCGGTTTGTTGCTTAAGGAAAGGAGTGTTTTGGTTTTATTATTTCTTATATTTATAAAGAAAATAGGATGGTACGTATACGCTAAATTATCGCGGTAGTTAATTTATAATCGGTCGTAATGGCGAAAGCTTACAGACTATTAAATATGTCATACGCAAAATGTTTCTGGGGTTTTTTCAACTTTTATGACACATCAGTTCATGCTGATTTTCTTTACCGAGTTCGGTCAACAAGGTACCTGTCATAAGCGACTCAGGTGCGGGCAACTCTATATTATCGCGGTATCACTATTTTGTGGCGTGATACGTGTGGATTATGTGGTTTACGACAGACCCTGTTTTGGATTATGCATATTCAGTATGCATACGACCTTGGCTGGGTCAAGGGACTTCGTCTAAACAGATTGGTTCTTTTCTTATCACTTTCGAATGGGGGTAGGGGTAATTCCACTTCAGAAATATTCCAGAAACTATCATAAAAAAGTTAAGTGTGTACTTACGAGTAGCCGTGACATACCTGTATCCGATCAAGCGATGAAATATCGTGCTTAGATTTGCGTAAGGAAACAGTCGACAGGGGGGTGGATTAGAGATTTGCCGATACCGCGATAATGTAGAGCCCGCGATAATATAGAGTCATACTATAATTACTCAAACATCTCTACATCGTGTTGGATACGTTTTGAACTTCCCGTTCAAATAAACATTACTCCAGTAAAACTCAAACTCACCTACAAGGAGAAAAGTGAAAATGATGAAGCTGTAGAACATCAAGGATAGTGTTCTCCATTACATGACTGTTGCTGCATGACGTCATCGGTTACAGTACGACGTCACAACTATATATGACGTCACGATGTCGAGGATCATCGCGTGATTTGCTACACCATTCATCTGGGGCGCGTTGCAAGCCACGAATCGCTAAAAGAAAGCAAAGTAATCGCTCATCCCGGGGTCTGCAACAGTTGGAAGCGCTTGCGCACTCTTCCAAAATGGCGGCGCAACTAGACGTTATGAAGATCATAATAGAAGAGGCTAGATGACGAGCTGATGAAATTTATGACTACTTTGAAGATGTGGAGCAGACTGAGGATGATGGTGTGTTAGCTGCCTTTGCTAATTTTCTCGTTGATCCAATCAATAATTCCTTGTTCCGCTGTCAAAGTAAGCCGCCATTTTGGTTTGAGAACGAAGCGACCTCAGTCAGCGATTGTTTCGCTTGCAAGCGGCTGAAAGTTAGCGCACTGTTGTGAGGCGAATCGCTGTACATCGCTTACAAGCGATTGGCGCTTTGCAACGCACCCCCGATGTCCTCCAACCAATCCATCGATCAAATTTGGCGAAAAAAGATTTGGATCTAGATTCCACAGATCCGCGACAGTTGACGATGTTTTGAATACGTTGTCTTAATATTTTGTTGTTTCTTAACCTGGCGTTCGGCATGTGGGGACAAACCCGGGTCGGAGTATAGCGACATCACTGCGCGGCACTGAGCGGTATACAAGCCACTAGCGGACAGGAACAATGAGTGTAAGGCGACTTGTAGAGTACAACGTTATACACAAAGCTTTATTAAATTCCCTTTATTAAATTCTTGTTTCACATTACATAGCGACAGCCCTTGGGCACGCTTTACTGTCCTTAGTTTTAATTTTAGGGTTAGAATGGCGTTATTCGTGAGTGAGTGAGTGAGTGAGTATGTATGATTTTACGCCGCTTTCAGCAATATTCCAGCAATATTCACACATTTTGGGCACGCTTTACTGTCCTTAGTTTTAATTTTAGGGTTAGAATGGCGTTATTCGTGAGTGAGTGAGTGAGTGAGTGAGTATGTATGGTTTTACGCCGCTTTCTGCAATATTCCAGCAATATTCACACATTTTAGCCATGTCGGGAATGAATTGAATCCGGTGTTCAGCGTGACGAGCAAATGCTTTAACCACTATGCTACCCGACCGTCCCTAGAATGGCGTTACTAATAGTAATCAAACTATTTAATATTTACTAGTCTGCGGACAATATCTACAATACATAGGAAATAAGCCACATAATAGAGGTGAGGTGAGCTGTAGTGGGTGTGTGGCTACTTGTACTAGTCCGAAATAATACCGATATTATAGGGCCAACCCAATAGGATACCATGCCGCATTTTACATGAATACCCCACTCAGACACAGTGGAGTGACTCTAAATTGACCATACCTTCTTTTCGACCCTTATTGTCAAGCGCCAGGCAGGGTAACAATAAGTACCATCTTTTAACGTCTATGGGTATAATGCGGCCCGGGCGGACGCTCTACCACTGGACCACGAAGTCGGTCACACAAAATTTAGAATCCATCGCAAATCGTTATCCTCCCATGGAACTGGGTCTCACGTGTATACCAAAGGTTACAGAGTTGGCCCATCGGTATATCGTAGTCTACAACGCACGGGCTATTCACGCCAAAGCGACAGTACATGCGAATGTCTTTTGATATCAAATTTATCAACACGAGTCCATAAAAGTTCAAAACTCTGAATCTTGCCGGGGAGTGTTAAACTTTTATCAACGAGTGTTGATATATTTGATATCAAGGGTGAGATTCTATTTATCATTCAAAATCATTGTTCAACCTTTTCAGTTTGAAAACAGTCATTAGCAGTGTCTTGACTGCAAAAAGTACTGCTAACCAGCGTAATTAGCAGAGAGATTATATATTAGTGATCTCATTTGTTTGTGACGTCATGGTAACCGATGACATTGCAACGCTATGCAAAGCACCGTAGCAAACTCCCGTGGAAGCTAATTTTGGATGATACATTTAAGGATTGACTGTGTATTCTTTTCGGTTCATTGAGGTATGAATCGAAAAACCAATGTGCAAACTGTATGAATCCGCGTTGGGAAATGAATGCAATAACACGTGACCAATTCAGCTAATCAGAATACAGGAATTTCAATGAACACAACGAAAATTTAATTAAAATGACTTCAAAGTATCGTCATATCGTTTTGTTTTCCCCAGTGTGAATTTCGGGTTCCCAGCACCCTGTGATGGTTTTGGGAGGCGACTTATGGATCGGGTGGCGCCAATCGCTGACTTGGTTGACAGGGTATCGTCGTACCCCGTCGGCGGCTCCTTGACGACCCGATAAATCTGGTGATGTTGGGATGATGATGTGGTGATGATGAGTCGGTTCAGTCTGTTATGAAATCCTTGTCAAGCATCTCATCTCCTGCAGGGGGCACGGGTGGCCCAGTCATCTGAGGCGCCGCGATTCGCTGTGCAGAGTTGCGTCCCTTGGGCACGCCAGAAACCTATGATTGTGGGTTCGAATCTCGGTTCACCCCGATTATGTTTCTAGGTTTGTCAGCACCATACCCGTGCTCGTGGGTTTCACCGAAGTGGTAAACGCCTGAGACCTGCATCACATTAAGCTGACACGCCGTGATATAACGGGAATACTGTTAAAAGCGGCGTAAAACCCAACTCACTCACTCACTCACTCACTCACTCACTTACTCACTCACTCATCTCCTGCATATTTCCAAACTAAAGGTACAATGAGATAAAAAAAAAAGTAAGTATTGATTTATAGTGAGTTTAATTGGATTACTTTATTTACTTTACTTTAGTTTACAGTTTTATAGATTAGTTATCGTAACTGTGACTCAAGCTCGCCTAGCATCTCATCTCCTGCAGACCTGTCTAATTAGAAGTTGGATTACTAGTATTCACCCACACAGTTGGCATTGTCTTCATTAACCAGTATATCCTGTGTGACAACGTGTATGTAGCGAATGAGAAGGAATCACGTGGTCATATCACGTGCGGTGGGAAAAGGAGGCTGTTCTGTGGTTCGTGGAAAACCTCACACCGTGGCGATACAAATTAACTAACGTCACCAATACCCTGTATGTGCATAAAAAGTCACTCGTCTATAAAATTTGACGTTTATAATCTAGTAGGGGAGAAAGGTAATGTCGACGAAACCAATAGTTAATTCTGTACCGCCAACTGTTTTATTAATCTCTTCTAATCCTTTTACATTTTCGACAGTCTGGCCCTGGGCAAGTTCTGTACGGAACGTTATAACATTACAGTTTAGCCATTGCATAGTTCGGTCCTACCACATAAAATGTGTTCGGCCATGAACCCCTACAATGTTACTGTATATAAACAGCTGGAGCTGTTATAACTCACCTGTTTGTTTCAATTTAAAATTATCTTCATGCTTGGAGGTGCAGCAATCCGTCTTTCCCACTTCCTGGTAAACAGCAAGAACTGCCGCTGACATAAAAAGAATCATCGCTTTCAGGGTATTTCTATAAAGGGAAACGCATTTGACGTCCAAATTATCCTTTCTTCTTCAACAAGAAAAAAATGGTCTATTTTGACTTTGATTTTTGACGTTTCGGCTTCCTCCTCAAAGACGAAATATGAGGACATTTTGTTTTTCTGCTTTGATTTCTAACTAATCTTTGAAGTCTAAAATATCGAATTTGAGCTTGAAATTCCATTAACAGAAACTAATAATAACCAGGGAAGCGTTGGTTCTGTGTCTGTTTGTCAATGTCGCAGAACCAGAATAAGTACCTTACTGTGGTTATTATGTAGCATATATATTAAATTATTTAAATACAAGACTGAATATGAATAGCATAATATTCTAACGAACGTTATGTTATTTCAACCCAAATTCGTAATTCCTTTAAGTTAGATAATCCAGGACTTTAAAGTCTATACATTTACATCTGGCGAGTGAGTGAATGTTGTTTTATTCTATATATAATACTCAAAAAAAGTTAAATAACAACCGCTTCTTCCATATTACTGTAATTAATCTGCCATATCATAAATCTGGTGAGTGAGTGAGTGAGTTGGGTTTAACGCCGCTTTTAACAGTATTCCAGTTATATCACGGCGTGTCAGCTTAATGTGGGAGGAAAGCCCGAAGTGATGCAGGTCTCAGACGTTTACCACTTCGATGAAACCCACGAGCACGGGTATGGTGCTGACAAACCTAGAAACATAATCGGGGCGAGCCGGGACTCGAACCCACAATCATAGGTTTCTGGCGTGCCCAAGGGACGCAACTCTGCACAGCGAGTCACGGCGCCTTAAACGACTGGGCCACCCGTGCCCCCCATAAATCTGGTGAAATAACAGTATTTTACGACACCTGTTCCAGACATACTGTAACCTGTACACGAGGTCATTGAATGTTACTTGGTTTGCATTGCCCTATGTCAGGCAATGTGACAGCAAAATGTTGTTCTGGAGGAGTTGCACACCATTTATTCAGACCAGAAAAGAAACAGAACCCAGAGGACGTTCTCATCAGTATTATAAAGTTGTTTAGAAATAGAAATTACGTAATCCGTTACTGCTCGGTCATCATAATATCGCTATGGCTCTAAAACACCTCCTGACAACGTTTATTCACGGACCCTACAAACGTACTAAAGACATCCACTGGTAAATTTTCCATTCGTCCACAGCAGTCTGCCGGGTTCCATGATGTCTGCCAAAGGCTGGTTTCGTCTGGAAATAAGTCTGCCTATAGCATCCCACACGTCCGATTGGATTAAAGCCTGTGACTCAATGTGATTGTCCTTGTCTTGAACAATCCGGGCACGACGTGGACAGGAATTGTAATCCTGACAGATTATGCAAAGTTGGGATTGCCAAGTAGGAATAATGTAACAGTTCTCTCAACCATATATTTTCGGCGGTTGTCGATCCCTGTACAACTTTGATATCGAAATCTAGTTTCTCATGGGTGAAGAATGCCCACTGTGACCGAACCTCCAACCAGCAAGGTTATTCAAAGGATTCAGTTGTAAACGTGTGGGTGGCAGGTGCTCCCGGTAGGGCAGGGCATCCTTACCCCTTTTCGCGAACACCGGGTGTCGTCACTGAATTACACATACTTTTCACGTACACTGTGAGTGGCAGGTACTACCGGTAGGGCAGGGCCTCACTGAGTTACACTTACTTTTTATGTAAATTGTGTGGGTGGCAGGTGCTCCCGGTAGGGCAGGACACGCTTACCCCTTTTCGCGAACACCGGGTGTCGTCACTTAGTTACACTTACTTTTCACGTACACTGTGAGTGGCAGGTGCTACCGGTAGGGCAGGGCATGCTTACCCCTTTTTGTGAACACCGGGTGTCATCACTGAGTTACACTTACTTTTCAGGTACATTGTGAGTGGCAGGTGCTACCGGTAGGGCAGGGCATCACTGAGTTACACTTACCTTTTATGTAAATTGTGTGGGTGGCAGGTGCTCCCGGTAGGGCAGATCAGGCTTACCACTTTTCGCGAACACTGGGTGTCATCACTGAGTTACACTTACTTTTTTGCAAATTATGTGAGTGGCAGGTGCTACCGGTAGGGCAGGACACGCTTACCCCTTTTCAACAACACAGGGTGTCATCACTGAGTTTCAGTTATATATTCATATAATTTTCACAGCTATTATACCTTTAACGCCCAATGGAATCTGTTTCGTCGGATAATCAAGATTGATTTATATTCTGTTCTGGGTTAGCATCGCACAAGGAGAAGACTGTCAGTAACGTACGTGATACGTACATTCCCGCCTGTCGCCATCCTGGACGAAGATGGAATGGAAAAGTTCTTGCCTTTGTATTGGCAGTAATGTTTCATTATCCTTACCTGGGACGGCCTTCACCTCGCTCTTCTGAGGGTTTCTTGAAAGGAGTCAACTTACTGCACTGAGGAGAGGCATTCATATGGCCAGCTATCTACCGCAAGGACATCGCAGTTTGGCTCAGGCCAACAGCTCACTATTTGCTAACTTCATTTGATGGATTGCAAACCATTTTTATCACCTAACAAATCGTATACATCCAATCTAGTGGTTTTTATACAGTGATATGAGTCAGCAAAATACCTCATGAATTCAAGTTACCTTGTCATTTGTCTTAATTCCGCTGAACGAAGTCAAACCTGGCCTTGTCATAACTCTTACCATCAGTATATTATGACGGCCAAGCCTAATCCAGTGGTTGATAGCATAACCTAAGTCACACAACAGTGAGCCAGGTTACCCGGTTTTACCACCCAATCATCCTGGGGTTATGGGGACTCACTCAGGCCAGGAATTTCCAAGGGTTCAACTAAAAGTACAAATAACTGCAAACTTTCTTATTCTACCACGAACTCCTAGGCAGGTACTGATACCAGATACCCAACTCAATCTGAATGTGGTTATTATATAAGCTCAATGCATGCATGGACTACTGTACAACAAGCATAGTCGCCTTTTACGGCAAGCATTGGTTGCTGAAGACCTATTCTTCCCCTGATCTTTACGGGTCGTTTGTGATAAGAGGCCGGGTGGTCAGGTTCCCTGACTTGGTTGATCCATGTCATCATATCCCAACTGCGTAGATGCCAATCACTGGATTGTCTCGTCCAGACTCGATTATTTACAGACAAGCATCATACAGCTGGAATATTGCCGAGTGCGGCGTTAAACAACAAACAATCAAACATATGGCTTGAGTGCAGGTGGGGATCAAACCCCGATCTTCGTACAGACACTCTATCCACTAGACCACGGAGGCAATATATGCAGAAACACTATGAAAACAAGGCGGTCCTAGGGTGTAGGCTTTGTGTGTAGTGTTTACTCCATTCTTTGTTTGTTTTATTAGATAGCATTAATCAAGATGTTATGCTGCTGACGTTGGCAGACGTATTAACGCCATTGTGACGTATTAAGGTCACGTGTTACTTTAGGTCTTCCTAAACCTGTCACATGACTGAATAAAGACAGCACACTGCAGTGTCACATGATTGAATAATGACAGCACACTGCAGTGTCACACAATTGAATGACCGCAAAATGCAGTGTCACATGATTGAATAACCCCACAATGCGGTGTCACATGATTGACTAATAACAGCACACTGCAGAGTCACATGATTGAATAACCACACAATGCAGTGTCACATGATTGAATAACCACACAATGCAGTGTCACATGATTGAATAATGACCGCACAATGCAGTGTCACATGATTGAAAAAACTCACAATGCAGTGTCACGTGATTGACTAATGACCACACAATGCAGTGTCACATGATTGAATAACCACACAATGCAGTGTCACATGATTGAATAATGACCACACAATGCAGTGTCACATGATTGAATAATGACCACAAAATGCAGTGTCACATGATTGAATAATGACCGCAAAATGCTGTGTCACATGATCAAGAACATAGCACACTGCTGTGTCACATGATTGAATGACTGCACACTGCAGTGTCACATGACTGAATAATGGCCGCACACTTCAGTGTCACATGATCTTGGATATAGCACATGATTGACCAATGAACACTTCAAGAAAAACATAATTGAGGGGTGTATTTCTTATTTTCCATTTATTACATAAATTTCTATGTACAGTGAAGTGTGAAGGATTTCACAATAACAAATATGCTGGAGGTATCACAGTCAGTTCACATACACAGTTATTCAAACACATCCTTCATAATTCAAGAACGATATTAGACATACAGATTGGCAGATTTCATTTCAAAAGAAAAGGAACATAGACATATTCAGGTTTAATACATCGTAAATATCTATCAGGGATCCAGATAAATGTTACATTGAGAATTTACTCACATTGGGTATTGGATACTTTCCTTTGGGTATTCAGTATCTTTAATCCCTTGGTTCAAGTCTATTGGGTATTTTTAAACCAGTGAAGAGACATTTTTATAATAATTCTGCTTGAGATCCTGTATCAGGTAACTTCTAATTTTCTCTGTTTATGTTCTGCCCTAAGTGTGTCACCTGTTGCATAAGCTCCTCACAGTGATACAAGTCTCAGTTACAATAAGCGAGATGTAGTGTGCATTATACACTGCAGTAGAGTTTATGAAAAGTGATGCCTGCATTGGACCAGTAAATAAAGATGTGTAAAGACACACAGGTACACAAGCTACAGTGGGAAATTATACTCCGTGTTGGTATACTACGATGTCTTGTTTTGTGTGTGGATTTTTATGCAAGTCAATTTAATTTAATCATATTGACCTATTTTTCATATTTTACACAAATATGCAGCTAATCTGGAGGTCTAATCTATGCTATGAAAGTTCAATGTGAACGCCTCATTAAAGTATTATTCACTCTCACATGAAATGCATAGCATAGACATCTATTGCCCAGTCCAAGATTTATAATCAGGGTGAATTTGACATGTTTACTCTTCTTTCAAGCACCTGGTGTCATCACTGATTTTCAGTGATCCATTCATATAACATGCTACTTTCCCTTTTATGCCCAATGGAATCTGGTTCGGCAGAAAACCGAGACTGGTTATTCTCCGGCATTTATGTTTAATATTCTGGCAGCTAAGAGACACCAGTCAGCCCAGGTCATTCACATACAATGTGAGCCATGCTGTGATGCAGTGGACAAAGAACATTGTGACTAGGAACAATAATAACTGAGTGAGTGAGTATGGTTTTACGTCGCTTTTAGCAATATTCCAGCAATATCACAGCGGGGGACACCAGAAATGGGCTTCACACATTGTACCCATGTCAGGAATCGAACCGGGTCTTCAGCGTGACGAGGGAACGCTTTAACCACAAGGCTACCCGACCGCCCCAGGAACAATAATAAAACACAGAAGACATGCACAGAACAAAATATATTAAATTTAGTTATTCATCACATGAAGGCAAAAGAGAAAGTTTGAGGGAACAATATTTCTACTTTCAAATATTAATACATCAGAACACCTTTCATTGATGACTTTGAACTCCTAGGCTTGCTGGTTGTATTTAAATGATTGTGGGAGTTGTTTGAAGTACATGTATATAGACTTTGTACAAGTATCCACTGACTCAAATATTTGAAAAGTCTCTTTAACTCTCAGTCAACTAATTAAAGAATGAAACGCTCATGAGGTCAAAATACATACTAACCCGTTCATGCTTTAATTTCACCAAACCAACAATCTTTTTATGAGATCACTTAAAATGTTCCAAAGAATTGTTTTACAATATATTATTCATATTTCTATTTCAGCAATGGAACCTGAGGTCTTTTAAAGCCTCATATATTTGCAAAATGGCCATCCAAAGTGACAAAGAAGTGCCGTGTGTACAACATGTACATGCACAGTAAATCAAATATGATCATAAAAGACATGATTAGTTTTAGTATTCACACACATGTAGTCTCAACACCACTAACATCCGCCATACACACAAACCTTGGAACTGAATCAATATGGATGTATGACAATGTGACACCTGTGACAGGATGTGTCATTAGGTACTGACAATGGAGGGTTAGCAGAATGGACGGACTACATACCTGATCACATATACACCTGGACAATAATTAAACACCTTTTAATGTATATTTCCATGTAATATGGCAGTGTTAAATAATCCTGTATTTAGTTATGATGAAACACATTTGTGTTTGTTAACTCAGTGACATATTCATATTGGAACCAAAATTGATTACAGAAGGGCATATTTTTAAATTCATTACAGAAGGGCATATTTTTTAATAGATTGCAGAAGGACAAAGGCATATTTTAATTTAATTACAGAAGGGCATATCTTTATAATAATTACAGAAGGGCATATTTTTAAATTAATTACAGAAGGGCATATTTTTAAATTCATTACAGAAGGGCATATTTTTAAATTGGATTACAGAGGGGCATACTTTTTAATTGATTACAAAAGAGCATATTTGTAAATTAATTTAAGAGCATATTTTTAAAATAATTACAGAAGGGCATATTTTTAAACTGATTGCAGAACGGCATTTTTTTAAATTAATTACAGAAGGGCATATTTTTAGATTAATTACAGAAGGGCATATTTTAAGATTAATTACAGAAGGGCATATTTATAAACTAACATATCACCAAGTATCAGTGGTACCTTAGACATAAGTTTTATTACAATGATGCCAAACATCATATGTAGATACTTCCAAAATAAACATGATATTTCTTGCATTGGATCCTTACATTTTGGTTCATTAAGTGTGACAGAGATACAAATATGACTATCACCAGAACATGGAAAATGTTTCTGAAAAATTGGGTGGCTCCTTAACATACTCAACAACTTATCCTTACTTCCTTCATACAGACTTTATTGGCACCACACCAGTGTGACGGAGCAGTACTTTGTTCCTGATTGAATCAGGTGGATGACAGAGAGCTGAGACAACGTTGGTGTATCCTGCAGCTCATGTGACGACGACAGCCTCACTGACAGGCATGCTGATGACGCCGGTGATGAGGGGGACACTCCGACCTTGTTTCAGCACATATACCTGTAGGACAAGAAAACAAAGGCAACCCTCAGATCCTGGACATTATGATTGTACTAGAAAAAGGGGTTTATCATTTGTACATGGAGGCCTGAAGCAATCCTGGAAGAAATGGGTCTAAAGACACTTTTAACAGTTTTTGATTTACTTCACCTTGTGTCAGTGATGTAGGGCATTGATATTTATCTTGCTGCATGTATCTCCGATCAAATGCATTACATGATACACATGTAAATATTTGTGTTATAAATAGCATTCAGTCTCTGAGCCATTCAGGCACATTCAGTGGTCGAACAATCTGCATTTGTGTACAACATATATGTTATAAGTTGTAGCAGTATCACGAGGCGTATATGTGATTTTATGCATCCCTAACGAGGGACACATACAACCATGTGCACACCTCGTGATACTGCTACAACTAATTTATCTTACTGACATGTCTTAATCTGCCATTGTAAAAGAATTTAAACACAATTGATAGAAAAGAGCTGTTTGACTGAGCTGAGGTTATAGCATGGGATGGAATGAAGATGAGGATAGGATTGGATGGGATGAGGAAAGGTTGAGGATGATATGGGATGGGATGTGAATAGGTTGAGGATGATATGGGATGGGATGTGAATAGGTTGAGGATGATATGGGATGGGATGTGAATAGGTTGAGGATGATATGGGATGGGATGTGAATAGGTTGAGGATGATATGGGATGGGATGGGATGGGTCGAGGATGGGATGTGAATAGGTTGAGAAGGATGAGGATGTGGTGAACATTTTCATGTTATGTGATGTCATCATGTGATGCAATGTCATGCCATTGAGGATGGGATGGAATGGAATGGAATGGGGATGGAATGGGATAGGGTGAAAATAGGATGGGATGGGATGAGAATAGGCTGAGGATGGGATGTGAATAGGTTGAGGAGCATGAGGATGTGATGTGATGGGATGTGATTTAGGATGGAATGGCTTGAGGATGGGATAGGATGGGATGGAATGTGAATAGGTTGGGATAGGATGGGAATAGGGTGAAGATAGGATGGGATGGGGATGAACATAGGATGGAATGGGATGAGAATGGCATGGCATGAGGATAGGATGGGGTGAGAGTGGTTGGGATGGGATACTGAGGGTTGAGAAGAGGCAGATAATAGGAAACTATAGCTGGGAAAGGGATGCAGATTGGGATATGATTGAAAATGAGATAGGGTGAGAATGGGAGCGGGATGAGGATGAGATGCTGGAGCTGAATGACTGTGAGTGAGGGAAGCTAGATCTGAGGGGATGGATAAAACACATACTGTAGGATCTGCAAGGGTATGTTCAAATCAAACAAATCATGAAATGATTGACAATATGTTTCAAAACTATGTAAAAGAACAAAGCAACTTGGACAGCCCACCCATACCCCCCCACACTATGGTAAACTCCTCACCTTGACGTTGTCGGAGACTCCCTTGTCACTCTGACAGTCTATGAATGTGTCGTAGGAGTAGTTCAGCCCTGGCACCAGCATGGGCACCTGCAAGCAGAGATGTACCATGTCTCAAATACACATCAACACAGTGTAGCTTCATACTTTCAATCATTAATAGCAGGAGAAGCAATCAATGATGTTGGGGTATGGTGAGAAACAATCATCCAGGTTCAACATTAAAACTAGAAGTGGGACGATACATCGATGCATTGGTGGATCACGATTTTATACTTCTCGATACAAGTATCGTTCACAATCGCACACAAAGTAACAAGTATTGATTCTTACCTTAAATGTATTTTTCAATAAATGTTACACCAAACACTAATTACTAGTGAAAATGTGTAGTGAAAACGTAAATATTTTCATCCATTGCGCCATACTTGACACTGCTACCTGTAAATCGTTAGTGTGCCAGGTATTTGGCCATCCTGTCTGTGAAAAACACGGCTCACGCACCACAGAAAAGTGCACATGTAAGTATCGTGATACATATCGGATCGTGAGCAAGGTACCGTGATACGTATTGGATCACACAGTTGGTGTATCGTCCCAGCCCTAATTATAACCATCCAGTCCTCCATTAAGCTGGCACTATGACAAGCTTGGTGTCCTGAGGAAATAGTCAATCACAGTATTGCTAAGGGACTGACTATTTGAAATTATGGAATGGGAGGGGTGGGGTTGCAAACTTTTGGAAACAATCATCCAGGTTTAACATTGCAACCATCATATCCTCATTAAGTTGACACGATGATAATCACAGTAGTATTAAGCAACTGACCATTTGATATTCTGGGTTGGGAGGGAGAATTTATGGATGTAAAATTCTTTATTATGAGGAACACGACGTTTCGGAATACATACTTACTCCTTCATCAGACAAATGAATACTAGGATGCAGAGAGCATATATGTAGATGTAAAGACCAAAAAAGTAATAAAATAACAAAGGTGGAAACATAACAAGGGAAGCGTACATAGAGAATCTCACCCGAGTGCCTTTTGATATCAAATATATCAACACGAGTTGATAAAAGTGGAAAAATTCCGAGGCTTGCCGAGGATTTTTGCCACTTCTATCAACGAGTGTTGATATATTTGATACCAAAAGACACGAGGGTGAGATTTTATTTATCATCCAACATCATTCTTCCAATTTTTCTCAATTTGTAGACAGTAATTAGCAGTGTCTTCAGTGTAAAAAGTGTAAAAAGTACTGCTAAAAGCTTCAGTAGCACTGATTAGTGATGTCATTTGATTGTGACGTCATGGTAACCAGTGACGTCACAATGGTCTGCAAAGCATTGTGATGTAATTTCATTCCAGTGATATAGATCTACAGTGTAGATATCGCTTGATCTAATCTAAGCGAGATCTCCTGTGGGAGCCAGTTTTGGATGATGAAGTTAATTAACACTGATAGGAGATGGGGTAGGGTGGCAATTTGTTTGGAAAAAAAATGTTAAAAATATATAAGAGGAATATCTTTTTTAATTCTTTGCTGGACATGCTGGGCGTCCTAGGAAAAGAAATATTGTGCTATGAATTCTTTTAATAAAGTTTGCCTCCTCCATTCACAGCAAAAACGCAGTGACCAAAATACTCTCCTATTTCTGACAATACTGAAAGCCTCCTCTGTTCCCGACAACTTTAAATGGAGGGTCCATGACAACTGGCCTCATCAATGCTTATTAACATCATCTGACAATAAATAAACAAGAAAACTAGTGGAATACAATGTCCTAGAAAACATTCAAGACTTAAGAAAATTTAAGCCCCTGCAGTCCGAGAGTCCCATTTACAGATGTAACATGTCATTTAATTAGATCTGGCTCACCAACACAGGAATCATTTCATCATTTACTGCACCTGAGTGTGAATAATGAAAATAGCTTTATGACCATTTGGGGATTTTTCATGGATCAGTATTCCCTGATTGGGATAATAACAGTAATACAAAGGCTGTTTTCCGAGCATTAAGTGCGCTGCTTTTACTACATGCACAGAGGAGTTCTCAGTAATGCCTCAATTTGTCAGGTTTTAGTATGTTTTACTCGAGTCCTCATGGCCATGGCATATAGTTGAATGTTCACTTTCAATGGAAACAGAGCCACAGGCCCTGGAGCTCACCTTCAAAATTGAATATCAAATAATTTTTTTAAAATTAGCCAAACTATTGATCACTTAAAGATCGTTCAATAGATTAAAATGGTATCAATAATGAATTACCAAAAATTATTTTCAATATAGTTTTTTATTTACATATCACCTACCAGTAAGTATTACAAACAACTTGATCAAATGGCCAGATGAAGTGACTTGATTGACTGTCCGTCATTGTACACCAATAGGGTGGTTTGTATTTCATAATATCAACCACCAGATTGTCGGATGCTGACTAATTGTTTAGCATATTGATGTTGATATAGGTTAATCCAGTCCTGGTCAAACCTATTGATATTTCAGCCACTTTTCCAGGAAAGAATGTGGGTCGACAGGAAACCATGCTTGTCGCAAGAGGCGCCTAAATAGATTGGGTGGTCAGACTCCGTGGCTATCAACTATCCCAATTCTGTAAGATTAATGCTCATGATATCCATCACTGGATTGTCTGATCCAGACTCGGGTATTTACAGGCTGCTGTCATAAAGCTGGAATATTGCTGGGGCATTAAACAACAAACAAATAAAAAAACCGAAGGAAGTAAGAAAAATGATGGCAGTGTAGCCTTGTGGGCATACTCTCACAAAAACATACAAACTCACAGTCAATGAATGTCAATATTATTGAAGTAGATGAGTCTTTAGTTTAAAGGGAGTTTCTGAAGGGGCGCATCTGACGTGTAGCAGGGAGAGAGTTCCATAACACTACAGCAGAGTGCTGAAGAGATCTGGCACCAAAGGTTTTTAACTTGTAAAGATGTGCCTTATCAACTGTATCAGCTCAACTCAGGTCAGCTAAGAATGAAATTGAAGAATCAGATACTATATCTAACAACTAAAAACAAATGACATGGGGGTTCGTTTTCTTGAACTTTCTAAAAGAGATTGTCATGACAAAAATAGATAAATGAGATCAATGAACAAGAGATGTTCTCCTCAAACAACTGTTAAACAAATTCATTACTCAATTTTAACCTTTGTTTTAAAGTAATTCAATTCATAATAACAAGTTATTGTATTACAGTAATCATGTGCATCACATGCCATCATGAAATCTAAAATAAATTGAGAAATTGATCTTTCCGCTTCAAAGCTAACAACCATTTTCTGTAACCAAATATTCATCTAATCACATTACATGATGCTGTGAATGACTGACCATATCAAAACAGGGAGCTTACATTAAGATACAAAAAACTCTCTAAGCATGTACAAATTTAGATGTTTTCACAAAATCAAATCATCCTCAGGCCTCTGAAGTCTAATACAAGTTGGAAGCAATTTTTCTATAAATGTTACTTTGGCAAAATGTCAAATAAGGTATTAACTTCAATCTCCAACACACCATTATTAATCAAATCTGTGTTCTTTTACAAAACAACCCTAACAGTGGCCATATAGCTAATGGATAACACTCGTATTACACACAACAGACATCTCTCATCAAACATCAGTCTGTCAATGACTTAAATTAGTTCATGCGAGAGCACTTCCATATTAAATTATCTTCTTACTAAACAAAGACCTGGTGTTGTTTGTCAACAATCCCTGCCATTCTATGTCTATTGATGTCATCTGTCTTTTGTTCCACCCTCCACAACTAGCTACACTACAGTGTTCGCTAATCAGTTGCCTGTACGTTTCATTGTACATTCAGTGCTTGACAGCCACAATGGGACTGGACATTCAGCCTTAATGATAAATCACCAACACCAAATGTGATGCTCAGAATAAAACAGAAACTTCAAGGTACGACATTTTCAATCCCTCAGTGCTAAGCTGAGGCAGCAATAGATGCTAGCTAGATAGCCAGATTACCATTTTAAAGTCGCCACTGTATGTCCCTGTGCTGCTGTCAGAATAACACTGTCAGCGGTTAATCTATCAACTTGCCCAGCGAAATCAATAGCAAAACTGTAGAAGCTTGTTCCCTCACAGAGGTGACTCCGTTCAGGTTTCCACCTTCAATTACTACTTTCAAAGACTCTGTACTTGGAAACTGCATAAGTACCTAAAAATAGGCTTCAGTGAATTGGTGCTTTGGAACTCCAGTTAATTTTCTTGTTACAAAAATAAAGCCCCAAGACTCTGTAGCTCACTTGAAATTTTAAGTATTATCGATCAGTTTGTTTGTTCTTTAATGCCACACTCAGCAACATTATGAGCAACCATCTACACAATTTGGATACGATGGAATGCATCAACAAACTCAGCAAGCACAGATAACGTTGCAATATGTTCAATAAAATACATGATACATGTACCAAACTGGCTATGTAGGGGCCAAATGTACATGGTGATCATCACTACCAAGCACTGATGGCAGCCACGGCAGTACTCAAAGGATGAGTGAGTGAGTTGGGTTTAACGCCGCTTTTAACAGTATTCCAGTTATATCACGGCGTGTCAGCCTAATGTGGGAGGAAAGCCTGAAGTGATGCAGCTCTCAGCTGTTTACCACTTCAGTGAAACCTACAAGCACGAGTATGGTGCAGACAACCTAGAAACATAATCGAGGTGAACTGGGATTCGAACCCACAATCATAGGTTTCTGGTGTGCCCAAGGGATGCAACTCTGCACAGCGAATCGCGGTGCCTTAGACGACTGGGCCATCCATGCCTCCTACTCAGAGGATTAAGTAGCGACAAATACACAGCAAAGTCAAACAATAGTTTAAATCCTGTATTTTGGCTTCAATCATACTAACTAAAATTTTCAGATTTTCAACAGACGTCCTCTTCACTGTCAATTACACACAATTAGTTGCCACCAAGTATTCTCACAATTACCCACACCGTGACATCACAATGGCGGCCATATCACATTTTTCCATCATCTCCTACTAGAGGTAAATGAATTGGGGAGGTGGGAGGGAGTAAT